AGAGAAGCAATGGTCTGTGCAGTAAAAACCTTTTTTCTTTGCTTTTTTTCTTGTTAGTAAAGTCTGAGAAATTTTCTTAAATGGCATTCTACACTCATGCAGACATATCGGGCTAAAGAAACGCACCTTGTGCTTGGAGTAGAAAGTGATTAGACTTGTGATGGCCCTTAATTCCAGCAGAAGGCAGATTTGAGGTCTTCACTGATGGATAAGCCCTGGAGAAGCTTCCAGGTCCCTTCATACCCCCTGTACAATTTCCTGCTTGTTCCTCCACAAGCTGGTGACAAAGGGGTCCTGTGACATGCCCAAAAGGTAAATGTGCTGGGACTGTTTTGCACTGAGTTTGAGTGCGTTTCAAACCTCATGAGTTTTCATAGCCTCACATGAATAGTTTTGTGTTTGAGGCTAAGTCCTGCTGTGATGACAACCATGGCAACAGGGAAGGAGAAGGGAAAAGAACTGCTCTTTCAAATGAGATGGGCCCAGATGTTAGATATGTTTTTTTGTTAAATGCTCGTCCTAGACAAAAACTAGTTTAAATCACAGCAGCTATCAAACACCCAACTGGCTTTCCACTCTCAATTCATCTGATGAGACTTTGAGTGCAGAAAACATGCTGGTTCTCTCTAAAGGCTGGAGAGATGAAGGCCAGGGCAGGTGTCCATGGTAGCATCACCTTTGGGTGAGACATGACTTATGGCAGTAGTCCCAAAGGTGCAAGCCCAGTTATATCTTGACCGAGAAAGCCAGAGTGAGGGGACACAAGACACTTGTGATTCTCCACCAAATAAGGCAAAAAGGCTGTATATTGACTATGACACTGCAATACTTTTAATTTATGCCCCTTCTCCTACTTATACTTTGGATCGGCAAAGATTCTTTCCTCTGCTGAGAATGAAAACATCATTAATTTATAGGCACAGTGCTTCCCACAACATGCACCAAACACCAAAAGAAACAGATTACTCATTTGAAATACCACCTCTAACCTCCAATACAGCCCATTCTTGGGAAAAAAAAAAAAAAAAAAAAGATCTTCTGATGAGCTGGCCAAGCATGCTGTCAGCCACAGGTGGTCAAAGTGAAAACCCGGCTAGAAGTAAATCAGCCTTTAAAGACCTATGGGCATTAGTTGTTTATGCTTTAATTGATTTACCTTTAACTGTCCTGTAGGGAAGACTCTACACTCTGCTTCCCTAAGGCATCAGTGTGTAAATGCAGTTACATATTTGGTCAGGGAAGAAACTAAAATCTTAGCTTAATTCTAACTATGTGTTTAAGATTCATTTTAAAAAAAATTTAAGGAGATTATTAAGATAGTTTTTGTTTGTTTGGGTTTTTTTTAATTTTCGTTTTTTTTTCTGAATACAAAGTTATGTCAATTATTGAGGGGACTCAGTAATTTTTAAAATAATGTATTGCATCTATAGCATGGAACTGAGCTTCTCAAAAAGAGGTAGAAGCTTTGCATAAAGCAGCCAGTTCCCCGTGAAGAATGTAGTATTTCTGTATCATAAGAAGATAAACTTCCAGGATTTGAAAGCCTCTTTTGAAGGGCGGCTTTTGAGTTGTATCTGTGTCAATTTTAGGAGGAAAGAAAATCAGTTGATTTTCTCAAAAATGACAGGTTCAAACAGACCTCTGAAGGCCAGGAAGCCAAGCAATGTTCTTACTTGATCCTTGAACAAAACTGCAGGTCAAACCAGCTTTTGAACAAAGTTAGGGCAGCCTAACCTATAACCGCATAGCCTAAGTTAAGGCTATGAGCTGTTGTTGGGATTTTGGTTTTTTTGTTTTGTTTGTTTGGGGTTTTTTTGCCATGTTTTCTTTTTCCAAAAAGTTTGGCCTGGCAGTGATCTGGCCCCTGCTACTTGTTCTGGGCCAAATGCCGATTACCCGGGCAGGATTGGGTAAGCCAGGGATGCACACATTGAGAGAGAGTAGAGGAATGGGTGTGTGTGTGAGATGGCTTTGGAAACTCCAGCAAGCGCACAGTGCACATCTTCGCTCATTAGCAGCCTTCCACAGCGATGTTTGGTGGCCGTGCTCTGTGTAAACAGTCTGACATCTGTTTGTACGAGAAAAGTAAAGCTTTGCTAGCAGGCTAGATTAACCTTTGAGGCAAATTTAGAAGAAAATCTGAAGGAGAAATCTGCAGACAGATTTTCTACGTTATGAATTCTAACAGTAGGCAAATAGCTTGTTACCACATACTGTCCCTAAAAACACAGCAGCATTTCTGTGATCTAGCTTTAATAAAAATGAAGTTGGAGCACATAGAATCATAGAATGGCCTAGGCTGGAAGGGACCTTAGAGATCATCTAGTCCAACCTCCCTGTCATGGGCAGGGACGCCACCTCTTGCCTAGACCAGGCAACACATGGGGACCGAGCTGGAATCGAACCCGCGACCTCGGTGTTGGTCCTTGTTGTCAGCACCGTGCTCAAACCACTGAGCTAACTGGCCCCCACATGTTCCACAGCTCCTTGGGCTGGTTTTGTTAGTTTATTTTTATGTGTATTTTTTGCAGTTTTTGAAGATAACAGCCTTTATACATGCATATGCACACATTGATGGTTACGGGATCAGATCACTTAAAGATAAAGTATAGCTATTAGTTTTATTTGATTCCTGCCAGAAAATTGTTACAGTAACAGAATTTCTAGTATTTTGACCCAGGTTAGTTCCAGGGTCCTAAGAACCTGAACTTCTGAGCAAACTCGGTTTGTACATCGCAATTCATCATATTGGGAGATATCATTTTTAGAAGAAAGAAAGCAAAAAACAACCTTTTTGAAGTTATTTTTTAAGATAAAGTTACTTTTAAAGATAACTGTATTAAGCTAGAAAAGTTAGGTTTTCAAATGTGGACACCTGAAGTTAAATTCCTAATTTCATATATGACTGCCTAGATAAATGACCAGGTCTGTAGCAATGCTGAACAATCACTCCCCTGATTAGATAGAATATTTACAGATTAAAATGTTAATCTCCTGTTAATTTGGGGATCCAGAAATTGAGATTTTTGTGTTTTCCAATTTGACTTATCAATGAAAACTAATTCATCAATATTAGAGCTTAATTGGAAGCCTTCCTAGAAAATCCAATGATTGGCAGAATAATTGACTTTCTTTTCAAAGTACTTCAGTTTGACAAAAATACCATATGTGACAGAAACACTGTGGTCATATTTAATGTGTAGCTTGATCTTTGTTCAGCCAATGCCTTACCATAATGTTTCCCATTACAATTATATTTTCTGCTCTCTCTCCCTTCCTGCAGCATATTTCTCAAATAACACTGTACATTATTTTAGTGCATGTCTTAGCGGTGTAACTTATTGTGATGACGATACCATGCTTTGCAAATGACTCCACGCACCTGGAACTTAGGTTACGGACTTTTAGTTCCAGGGCTGGAGCTCTAATGTCTCAGTAAGTCTTTAAACCTGGCTTTACACTGTCCTGGGCATGCACTACAGCTTCCTGAGGGATGGAAAAGGGCAAAATCCAGACAAGATGGGAAGCGTTTGGCCCAGCAGGATGTCTCCGACATTTCACCCTTAGGGTCATGGTTCAGAATGTGACTTCCAGGCAGAGCAACCTATGGGGAGGGACAGGATCTCCTGTGGTACAGGAGCTGTCACCAGGTCATTTTCCTGCCAGTGGGAGTACATTTCCCTGTAGTTTGGGGGCCATTTTAAGGTCAGGAGTCAAATAACTAGTGCTTTTGTGTTTAGTGGTGCTCACGCAATCGATCGTGTTTGTTCCTCTGCATGCAGGGTTAGTCACTGAGATGAGGGAGAGCATTTCAGTGGCTGGAGTTCTTAAAAAGTAGTGGAGACATCATCTGTTCGTAGTGTCTTAAACGGCTGAAGTTTTCTGAAGGTTAAAACAGATTCTTATTTATTTCTCAAAAAAAGCCCCTATGTGCTGTATTATGGATGTAATAAGTGTCAGGACTGCAAAAAGCAAAAAGCATGGCTCACTATAAAGACATTAGTTTTCATGCCCATGGCTCTGAAAAGTATTACCCCCTTGCTTTAGACTGCATTTCACCTCGATTCTCCTGCGGCTCCCGGTCTACCAAGCTGCCAGGGACAGAACAGACCATATTTTCTGAAGTGACAGAATAGGTGCAGATTGCTTTTAACTCTCTCCTTACTGTTCTATTCATACCTGGGGGTGAAAATAAATCCACTGAAAGGCAGGAGGACATTCCAGTTTCTTAGCTGTTCTCACCCTTTCCATATTCTTGCCTCACTATGTCTGACTGACAAACCTAGCTTAATGACCTTCTGTGGGGTTGGTAGGTATAACAGTTTGACTCAGTTGTGGACTGGACGTCTTACCAGGCACAAGATTGTGACCTAGCTGCCCCGTCGGAGCAAGGAAATGTTGCTTCCATTCCACATTTCAGACAGATAGAGAAGACTTTTTTCAGTTTATCCAAAACATAAGTTTCCGTATCTTTTTGTGGCTGGAGATTTTTGTGTCGTGACGGTGATTTTCTTTGTTGCAAACATCTGGTCATCATCATCTTGGGGAAAAAAAAAGTCACAGATTCAGTGCCACCCCTGAAAGAGTTGGATAAGAGCTGAGTAAGGAACAGGACATACACTAAGGACTGAGTTCCCAGTGTTACCTTCTGTTAAAGGAGTGTATTTCAGTGTTTGAATCCGTAGGTCAATGAGAAAAAGATGAAGAGAGTGGAAAACATAAGAAGAGATTAATTCTGCAACCTAGGGACTACTGATAGTTCTTAAACTTCCATTCTTTTATTTTATTATATGACTCACTGGCTTTTTTTTTCCCCTCAATACCTTGAGATTCTTAAGTAAGACTAATATTTTTGACATTTTCCTAGGGAAAAAAAAGAAGTGACTCTGAACTCAAATATAGCATGTGACATTTCTGCTTGATTTGGATATATGACGGGGGGGAGAAGGATGTAGGAGTTTAAAATTAGTCTCAGAACAAAAGTTAACTTCACCTTGAAAATAATAGGAATTATGCATTTCCATAACGACACTGTACCAGCGACACATTCTTCATTTTTCCTGTGGCTTCTTGGTAAATAAAAATGTAAAAAAAAAAAAAAAAAGGAGAAATTACAGCTGTGTTGGAGTTGAATTTTTTGTTTTCCCAGTACAAGAGAAACAAAGTTGTGTAACAATAATGCCGATAAAACCCCAGAGTGATCTTTCTTTCCAGTCAAAAGGTGAGGATGAAGGGGAAAACAATAGGAAAACATAGACAAATGTGAATTTTCAAGAAATGTTCCTCATTTTCCTTTCTCCCCCTCCCAATTTGTTCAGGGCTTGCAGCTAACCCATGATTAGTCCAGCTTTACCTCTAACATTTTTTCACATCTTGATTAATGAGGGAAGGCAGGCTTTGAAGCCACTTTCTTCTCCCAGACAGGTGCAGTGTTTTAACTGTGAAAGAGTTGACATATGAATTATTTGTAAAGAGGGAGCTATCTAAACACATCATTAGCAAAGGACAAAAGGCATTGACCTAACCTGGTGCCACAGCACTTTCAAATCCTTGGCTGTTCCCCAATTTACTGATTGTTTAAAGATTTGCCATCATTATTGGCAATGCCTATTATTTCTTCATTGTTAAATTCAGGTTGTGAAAATCAGGTGATTTGCATAGAGATCTTTTCCCTTTGACAGATATTGCCAGTATCTATGGCATATGCTGTAATTCAGGTAATGTAATTTTAGGCAAACTTAGGTGCTTACTATGAAAGATGAAAAGTTCGATTTGATGATGAAATATTTTCAAAAATCTGCTCCCACTCCACTAAGAAATTTAATGGCAATCAATTGCTTTATTTTTGTGGTTAATAATTTGTTCCCTATTGAGCAAAAGTGTCTCTCATATTTAAGCTTTATTGTATTCTCAGATTTAAGCACATGACAGTAAGCTTTTAGGAATTAAAGCCTTTGTGCTTCTGAATTGTTAGATCCTATTTACAAATACTTTAGGAGAGTTATTGACTACAACAATGGGTGGAGTGGAGCAATGAATCCACAGTTGGCCAAAATGAAATGATGTGTTATCTAACTAGTGTTTTCACTCTCCTCAAAATTTAATAAAATATGTTTTACATCTATAGGTCAGAAACCAAAGAGCACATTAAGCATTCAAGTGAAAGGTTAAAGATCTACTACCAAGTAATGAAATGCCAGGTGTTTATGAAACCCCAGAGCCCTGTGGGGGAAAAATAGAGAGGAAAGACAGAAGAGTTCTGAACCTATGGGTAAAACAACATAAACAGGATAGCAAAAAGAGAAGTGAAGGGAGAAAACAGTAATGAAGTGTTGTTCAGTACGTGTGAAATCAGAGCCATAATTTCATCCTGCCAGAGAATAAGAAAGGAATGAACAATGAAGGCACAGAGGAGGAGGAGGTGACAGTCGTCGTAAATCAATATCCAAGGTTAACACAGGACATTCTGTAAGAACACTGCTTCATTAAAAATAGGAGTCATGGTGGGCTGGCATTAAGGGACACAACTAATTTAGACTCTGATAGCTTTCTCTGTGGTGTCCCAAGGCAGATGGTGGGGGCAACTCCATCAGTTAACACATTTACAACTAGAAAGTGATGGCTGCTACACAAATGGTAAATAATTATGAGTAGCAGAGTACTGGACTTGGGGATCCAGGGATCTTTTCAAGTCTAGATCTGCCATTTTTCTGCCTCCTTTTCATTGAAAATAGGCAAAGCACTAGTGAGGGCTCTTTGGACTGGCACACAGCCAGCCAAAACAGCCAGCTGGAGATCTTCCAAGTGTAGGATGTACGCAGCTGTCAAGACTCTCTAGACTACAATACTGGCAGAGCCACCGATAGGCAGATGCTACTGATGAAATTGCATCAAGCCCTGAGCTCAAAGAGGTCTGTCCTGTTTTCACTCAGACAATGTGGGAACTTGGTCTTTGCGTAGTGCCTTATGAAACCCAAATGTCTGGAAATTAGCTGCTTCTTCCCACATTTTTCCCTAAATTTCTCAAATTGGGATCTTAGTGTTGGCATTGAAGCCTGAGCAGAAGAAAGAGGGTCTTCTTTGTCATACCGTGACAGCCAAGCCTCCGAGCACTTCCACCTGGCCCCTGCTCCTGCTTCTCTCTGTAGAGAACAGCACCACAAGGAAACACCTGCCCTAGACATATTTCTGCCTACAGCTACTTATTTGTGAATTCATTTATGCATTTTATGCTTCTGTTTTTACTGTAAAAAAAAGGTAGACTTACTTCGAATGCAGTGTCACTAGCTAATATAATTGAGGACTACTGACTTATGCCATAGGTTCTGGAGGTGGAAAAGCGGTCTTTTCCAATCTGTCTCCCTGTTATTTTCTGTGTATGTGCTTGTGGCCTGACCATGGTTTCTCTGGTTTAAACTCAGTGTAGTAAATCAAAAGTAGTCTGTCTTCATGTAGCACCTGTTGTCAGGGCAATCGATTTTCCAGCAATTTCTTGAAATTAGTATTATTTCACCCTGCTGGTGCCAAGTAGGCATACTTACATACAGTTTACAAACAAGGAAACTGAAGCTCAGGACTGACCCAACACCATCAGTTGATGGGTGACGTGAGCTAAAAAGTACTTGGCCACACAACTGGGCAGCCAGACCTACATTCTGACCAGGCAGTTCTGTCTCTGCTGCAGTGAAATCAGTAGCACACAGGCCTATATCCCATCATCCACATATCTGTCTATCCCTTCACCTACCTACCTACCTACCTACCTGTCTACTCTATATATTACTGAAGACTGTTACAGCTGGTACAGTAGCAAGCCAAAGTGTCTCTTTCTCTCTCTGCATGTATTGTATATATGTGTATTGCTTTTTTTGGTGATCTCAGAATGGTCTCTGAAATTATTTAACCCTCCCAAAGGGATTATCATAGAAACTTAGAAGTGAAAAGCCGTGGGAGGTCATCTCATCCATCTCTTTGCTCAAAGAGTCCCTATTATGATAAAGTACTAGTGAGTTAGGATCATAACAGATGGAGAATCATGTATGTATGTATTTTTTCCCATGGAGTAGAAGACAGAATCATGTGCAGATTTTTTACATAAAGAAACAATGTGTAGCTCACCCACTGTGAATAAATCAAATTTAGTCATCTTTATGCCTCCCTGATCTTCATCCTCTCAAGTTTGCTGGAGGGTCAGATGTGCACTCTGGGAGATTTTCCAGATTTTGTGTTTTCTCTCTGCCACCACTCCCCTATTTCTTAAACCCTTCACTCAGCCTTGTGCTGAAGTTTTTTTCCCCTACATTCTAACGATGCTGAGGTTGTGTTTAAGGCCCTGATGGTGCTGCTGTGTGCCGATGTGTGCCGCAGCCTCTGCGTGGCAGCAGCAGACAGCTTGCCAGGGAGGTGTCCCCTTCGCACTAAAGCAGCAGCATTTTCAAAGGAAATGCTGGTGTTGGACACTGGAAGTGAGGGCTCTGCTTTCTGCTTCCACTTTTGCTACTAATCTTTATATGGTCTTTAGCAAATCCCTTCCCTTCTATGCTTCCCAGCTGCAAAAATATTTAGGTGCCCAATGGCCCATCTTGGTTTTTTCATTGGTTTATTATTTTTTTATTTTTTTATTTTTGAAATAATTTTCAGATTTCCAGATATTTAACTTACCTGACAGTGTTATTACGCTAAGGTACGCTCTATTTATAACACGTGAGATCATGCTGTATTTTCGGAAATATTTCCATTCATAAGTGAAATTACAGTTCCACGCTGACATCCTTCAGCTCTCATCTGCAATCC